TATTGTGGAATTTATTGCTTTGGGTCATTAGCAAGACTGTTCAAATTGCTCTTAGACGCACTAATGCCATCATTTCATTGGTCGATAATGTGTTTACCTATGGACTCCCACACATTGAATCCAAATCCAGCCTAAAAAGCACACACACACCCTCACTTGAATTGACCTGCATGGCCACACACACACACACACACACACACGCGCGCACACACACACACACACACACACACACACACACACACACACACACACACACACACACACACACACACACACACACGCACACACGCGCACACACACACACACACACACACACACACACACTGGAGACTGTGTTCTGTTAATGGTGAGAGACTTCAGTGTTTTTGTAGAGTTTGAGGCTGCTCGCTCTTGCAAAACTGAGGTCTGTCAACACACACACACATACCTGTCAGAAAGTACCAGCTTGGTATGAAAAATTATAAAGTATAAAGGTGTGAGCTTATTATAGAAATAAACTGAACCATGGGAATAAAGAACATATATAGAAGATTTAAAATGTGGCCATCTCAAGCACACGTCACCTCTTCAATAAATATCAAATGAATATTCGATTTTAGATTTGATTGATTGTTAATTGATTATGATAAGTATGTTGCAGACTCATTTGGATACTGGTGTAATAGCTATTTTTAGAGAGGCAGGACAGCATCGGCCTGGAACAGTAAGCCACTCAGCCGAGCTCAGGCTTCATTATCTGAATACCTGGCTCCTGAATCTCTTAACTTGTTGCACAGAGGGACAGGAGAATAACCAAGGACGTCCATCTATGTGTTTCAGTTAGGTACTACAATAATATAACTATACTTAATCAGCTAGTTAGTAACCCTGAGCAAGTACATTTAAAACATCCAAAACCAAAAATGTGGCTACTGGATGTAAAACTTTAAGAAAGTCTTGTCCCGCACATTAGGCCAGGCTCATGACTTAAGGTCACTTTCTCTATTAATGTGGAAAACACTGCCTGAGGATATTAGGGTTGCAATGTCAGTTTCATCTTTGAAATCCCTTTGAAACACATTTTTCTAAACAGGCTTTTGTGTGAATGCTGACTCCAAATGCACTTTTGGTCACTAAGTTCACAATTGCATATTTGTTTATTGGTGTCTAAGGGGTGTGTTTCCTCCATACATTTGTGTTGTTGCTCTCTTTGTGTTTTATTGTATGTAAAAGTTGTTTTGAAAAAAATGCTTTACATATTAAGTTTGATGATGATGATTATTGTTGCTGTTGTTAAGTGGTAGTAGTACTACTCAAATTATTATTATTATTATTATCATTAGTCTGTTTCAAGCTAAGTTTCCATGTGCTAGTTTGATGTCAAAGTGTATAGGTCTATTCTGATTTAGCTGCTGTGTGAAATAACTCTGTGTCTCTCCTTCAGCCTCGGTGCTCCATACCCTGTTATTCCTGTCCTTCTCATTGACCTCCTCCTTCACCCCGTGCCTTATCATTATCCGGACGATAGCAGCGTTGTTGGTGCAGCACGCCTGGAAGAAAGACAGCGGCTCCGGGCTTTCCGGAGAGGGGGTGCTTTCCGAGTCCGCGAACACATCATCCGGCGGGTAGAAGGAGTCGTCCGACGCGATACTCCGACAGTCCTCCAAGTTCTCAAAGTCCTCAAAGTCAACTTCTTCGAACTCATCTTCATCGTTTTCCTCCGCTCCATCGTCCTCTTCATCGTCCTCCTCGCACGAGCCCAGGTAGTCCTCGTCATCACAGTGTGACAGCGGCTCCTCCACTATGGTCGGGTGAACCTGGGTGATGTTTCCCCCGACCTTCTGCTGCCGCTGGAGGTGCTTGAGCCGTACCGACGAAGAGCCTCCTCCATCCCTGTCGTCCGTGATCAGTACCATCTAACCCCCGAGCCTAGGGCACTGTCCTCGAGGCAGAGTGCAGCGTGGGGCGCGAGGCGCGCGCATGGGACAGCCTGTTTCTCCAGACAAGAGGGTAACCAAATGATCTACCTTAAAAAGTAATTTACGGGGGGCTAAATTACACAAACTCCTTCACCTGAATACCGGCCTCCTAGGTGAGCATGCTGCGTCTATAGTTACCCATCAGACATGTACAGAGAGTTGACAGCCTGGATGTCCATCTGAGCCGTGAACGTCACATAAAGTATACTCTTTCTTCACGCGCCCCTAAAACGAAACCATGTTCAGTTGTAGTTATCCGGTCCAGTAGCACTCGCAGGGAAATTAGATTCAGGCTTTTGCAGTGGGTAAAGCTACAGCAGAAAGTTAAAGTGCTGCGTACACGAGTGTCCCATGTAGAGAGACAGCAGCCTGTAAACCTAGTCGCGTAATCCGATTAGATGGGACTGGGACCTCTCTCTCTCTCTCTCTCTCTCTCTCTCTCTCTCTCTCTCTCTCTCTCTCTCTCTCTCTCTCTCTCTCTCTCTCTCTCTCTCTCTCTCTCTCTCTCTCTCTCTCTCTCTCTCTCGCTGTCTATTAACAAGAGATTCATTTTACTAGAAGCAACCCTAACAATCTTAGTATATTCATACAGGGCATTTTATGTGTGTATTTTTTCTAGCATATATGCCACAGTGGCATATTCAAATTGGTACATGTGATTTTCATGAATCACATGGGGAAAACCAGCATTTTTTAATATCTTGATGGCATCACTTTTCTGTACACTCACAGGGCTTTCCACTTTTCAGGTTTATAAAGCAGATTAAGTCTAAACAAAGGGATTATGATATTTTGTAATGTTTCTGGCACGTGGGTTACATTTTCTATTATCATAATGTAGTATGATTCTGAGGCAATTCATTTTACCCACAGCCTCATCGTGTTCGGCCACCTTCCTCTCTCTCATTTTCTTGGCTACTTGCCAATTGAGATAATAGAGATATTCACCATCCAGACAATTGGTGTCACTGAGATATCATTTTGATATTGATCACATTACCAGCATCAGATTATTTACTGGCTTCACTGGTTATGTTGTTCACCTGTGAATGAGTACATGCTGAGAGGTACATTTGCATTCCGTTTTGATGTTACCTAACCTAACATTTATCTCATATTGTTGTTCTCACTATCCACAGAAAGGTAGAATAAAAAATAGGATAAAACTAAAAGAGAATATCATAAATTGCCGTCACTAGATGGCCTTACTGTTTTGTCCATCTAATGCATGGCTTTGCAGAGTTTTGTGTAAAGTCTGCAGTTCTGTCATAGACATATTTACAGAGATGCTCCTTTTTCTCTCCGTAATTAATAACATCAGTTTGCTGACATCACCTGCTGTGGAAAAATCGAGTGCATAACAGTCCCTGTGTGTACCCATTATTATTCTACCTTCATCTGCCCCCAGCTGAGAGCTCTGCTCTCCTGTGGCTCTTTATCTCTATGGTATCGGTCGCCAGCTGTGCGGGTGACAGACAGTGTTAGCACTGCCAACGATCTGAGAAATGTTGCACCGTCTGGTCAAGCCACACACACAAACACCAGAGAACCAAGTCTTAAAAGAATTGTCTCTATCTTCTGTTCAAACCAGGTTTCTGGTGAAGATAGACTTAGGGAGATGGTTTTTAACACCATTTAAAATAAAATACCTTGTGACCTAGCTCATGAGTCTCTCACTCAACTAAATCTTGCTGTAAATATTTACTTATATTCATTGATGTAAATGGAATAGAGACATTATTAGAAACACCTCTCAGTATACATGAATACAACTAAAAAATATGCTTCCATTAAAGAATGCTTTAGGCTTTAAGCTAATATTGCTTGGTAATAAAGTGTTTTAGAGGATACTGAATAACTAGATCCAATTTAATTGCAGGAATTCATCAACATTTTAGATGCAGAAAACAATGCAAACAGTACCTTGGTAACCACTTTATAGTAAGAAAAAGACCTATGTTTGCTTTTTGTAATGCTCAATATTATTCCCTGTGTGATAATTATGTGATATGATTATTATGAATGTGTTTTATTTATATGTTATTGTTTATGTGCACTCTCAGGAACTTGTTCAACACCTCAACCTCCTGGCCTCTGGTGCTAAGGGAGCATTTCCTGCTCCGCCTATAGACCAGCCCCAGCAGATTGGTTGGCTGACGTTGAGCTGGAGGTGAGTGTAGTTGCACCAGCCAATGAAGCTCCTCCTCTGTACTCCTTCTCTTTGTCGTCTGTGATGTAGCTGACGCTGGAGAACTTCTGTAAGTGGCATGAGCTGGGGTTGAAGAAGAAGTCAGAGGGTGTACAGGAAAGGTGACAGTACGGTTCCTTGGGGGGGGGGGGCAGGGCAGTATTGCTCACCAGCACGTTTGTCAGTTGCTCTGCAGTTCTGAGGTCTGCTTGTGAAGTAGTCCTTGAACCAAACCACCAGGCTTACAGCTTTTCGGTGAGCAGGTGTGCAAAGTATACTATGTCATTTTAAAAAAAAAAATCGACATACTTTACTATGCCTTATTTCGACATACTATACCATGCCTTATTTGGACAAAGTAAACAAAAACATGGTGTTTTATGTCGAAATAAGGCACGATATAGTGTGTAGACGAAGAAGATGTACCTTTATTGATCACTATAACCAGTGTTCGAATTACCCATCTGCTTTCGGGGGAGCCCTATTTTTTTTTCCATGGCCCTCGGTGTGGAGCTGTCAAACTCGACCCTAACGCCGCTTACAGCCGGCCAACTAAAAGTTGTTCCGTTCACGTTGTCATTTTTAGACTCCTTCGCTTCTTTGCTTGTGAATCCAGAAGCTGCGAGGCTTGGCTGTTTTCGTTTCGCCATATGTTTTACTTTATATATACAGTCTATGGTTTTACTACAAAGCCAGAGTTAAAAAAATATCAATATGAACATTTCAAATACCGCGCCGGTATTGCCGCCGTAACCATAGCAACGTAAGTAGCGTAAAGAATGCAGCGCCGCCACGTACAGATGGCAACACCCAGAAATATTCACAAATATAAAACAAATATTCAGAAACTGTAATGAACAATGACTATTATTTATTTCAAGAACTTTTATTTACAGAAACTCAACATTTCTAATCTGTGTGACACAAATATGCATTTTTTTGGGCTCCCCCCTGGCTCCCACCCATTTCGAACAGTGACTATAACGTGATGAAATAGTATTCTATACTATTTAATTTTTTGCATAATTTCGACAAACTATACTACTCTATGTAGTTATTTCTGAATATTTCGACATTGTAGAGCCTTTCGAAAATATCAGGAAAAACTCAATAATTTTGTATGTCGAAATTATCAAAAAATGACAGAATTATGTCAGAAAAAGTCATTGTACAATGTGTAGAAAAATATGGGAAACGGTCTTAAAATAGAATGTTGAAACATTTATCAATGAGTCAATAACATACTACATAACACATAATGAAAACTGCCATGCTTTATCCTCCTGGGTCTAGTAATGACAAGTTAAAATGCATAGGTTACTGAAACATGAATGCACTGAACATTGTCCCCAAAGTGGTTGTTTCAAATACTTCTCTGACTATCCGCACATAACGCATGTACACATAAATAGCAGCAAAATGTTCTCTACACAAAGAAATGATTGCTCTTAAGTCATGATGATTTTATTGATCATCAATACATTTATAAGATCACTCTTGGTTTATAAATGCTAGCATCCCAAATGAACTTAATGAGCATATTGACCTTGGTGCTGGTAGTATTAGACAAGCTTCTGCAGTCATTCCCCCATTTGGTCGTTTATATATTCCCCCTAAGACCACAAGCAGCCAGAACACACCAACACACCAACACACCATGGACTCTTCGATGGCATACCTGAAGCAGGAGTGCAATACAAAGGTCCCTGTGATCTCTTCTTGACACAAGTACTGAACTGTTTAGGTTTTTGTGGGGTGTGTGTGTGATGATAATTGTGAGTGTTTACAACAAGGTTTTAATGGGTCCGCTTGTGTCTTAGATTTGCCAGAAAATTATGTTTTTCCACTTCATAGGAACGACTTAATGTAGTGATTATTAGTAGAGTGATTAGAAGCACTTCATATATTATTGCTCAATCAGTTCATGGGGTCGGGACAGACACCACTTATTAAGAGGCTAAGGACAACACTTCAATTCAGGGACAGAAAAAGCTTTCACTGCCAGTTGAATAAGAGCAATTGAATAGTCCACAAGTGGTAATTAACTAATTTTAATCAGCCAGCAATGGACCATGATTTTGTGTGATGTGTGTTCATGTGTGTAAGAACAACTCCCCAAATACAGCCTGGCCAAATCAGCATTATGTATAGCACTTTCCTCAAATGCTGTTAGAGGCGGAATCACTAATGATAAAAAATACACAAAATACAATACAAAGATACCTAGACTGAAACATCTCACTGTGATGGTGAGGAATAGTGGGGAATGCAGAAGTGCTTTGAACTGTCATTATCCCAATAGCTGCAGGAACACTAGCTCAAAGAAAGAACATCTCTCTTGTAATACCAAATAATTACATCTTTTCACTAGGAGTTCAGGTCTCAATAATTAATTTGACATGTGCCAATCTGTGTCACTGTGGGGATTGTGAGATCATTGTTCCATAAAGAATATAATGGGGAAGTGTGCTTGATTGACAGGTCCCTATCATATGCAGCCCTGGAGGTTTCTGCTCACTCATCCCACCTCAGCACCAAGATAATGTGAGTTGTAAACCCAAATCCAGCGCATTAGTTACATTAGACACAGAGTAGTGAAAGGTGTTTCGGTCTCACCCGTAAACAAATGCATCAACATGCAGTCACTGTGTCAATGTTGTACACATAATTGTTATTCCGCTCGTGAGGTTGCTCTGGCAAAGTTTGACGAAGCATGAGTCGTTGAGTCGATATCATCCTGATATATGAAGTCTAAAGGTTTAATCATCCCGTGTTGGAGCTCCCTGGGAAAAAAAGCAAGTTGTTAGACATCTATGACTTGAATGTATACATTGTAAGCAATAAGTAAACAATTCAAAGTTCATAAGGTGCCTACAAAAGAGCAAAACTTGCAGGCTGTATAGCAACCTTTTGTGTTGTTTGGTCAATGTGTCTCTTCCTGGTGTACATGTCTCTTTTGAGTAAAGTTAGATAACTCATAAAAACTAACACATACTAATTCAAACATATGCCTCACAATAGATCTAGAGTACAGTATTAGCTGATTGATAAAATATCCATGTTCTACACAACATGCATCATGTTTTCCCTCATCCTTACCCTGAAATCTGTTACACAACAGCTTCAGAGACGAAAGCTGAAATGGAGCCTTTGTGTCCATTCTCTCTTCTCCTGTCTTTCTCACACGGCTCTGCTACATTTGTCGTGTCCCTGGAGATGTGATGTTATGAACAAAGCTTGAAGAAACAGTGAAGGGTTGTGCAACATGGTCCACCCTGGAGCAGAGATTCCTGAGACACTGACATGTTTGCAATGACATCATGTTTCTCCCAAGTAACTCCATCCTTAAACAATGGGGCACACAGTTCTGAAGCTGTACTGTATGACCATTGTACTGGAGAGAGGATGGACCTAAAAATAAAAATAACTTTTAGTGGTATAGACATGTAAGGATGGGCCTACAAAGATTTAATTTAATTTCAATGTATTTGAGAATACTGTTGTGACTTTTTTAAGGTCTGTAAATACAGATCTTTGGGTGTTTTTACTTTAAGTTGTTGTCTTCATGTTATAATAAATACATGGTAATAAGCTCCACGGTGGATTGTCTAGGTAAATCACAAGAATTTAAAGTACAATTTATTACTTTGCTTAAAGAAAGAAATGCAGAGGTAAAAAGGGTTATTGAAAAAGAAAAAGGCAGTTTCTAAAGTCAGAATCTACATTATTTTGTGGTACTTTTTTACACTAAATAAAGTACCTATCTATCACTCAATGAATCTTGCAACAGAAAGTGCTTCCTTACAATTAAAATAAATACAGCACAAAGACTTTTGAAGTCACAAGGTTTGTGTTGGGCATGTCAGCGATGCTCTTTACTGCAACCTCCCATACTTCCCTGTCCACTGGAAAGTACCAACTTGGTATCAGGGACTTTCTGTGGAGAAGAAACTATGGCCCCGGAAGTTCCTGATCTTATTTAAAGTTTCAGGATTCCCGGTAAAGTTATTGCAGGTCTGTTTTTCGCCCTGACAAAATGTCCTTTTTACGCTGCGTCATTTGGGTGGATAGCCTGCAGTTTTAAGGGATTCCATCTGTCCTTACTTCCATTTTGACTCTCTTACAGCTAAGATTCTGCGAGGGGTAAGCTTGTTTCCTCCACCCCTACAACCTACTGCCAACTGCGCCTGAACTGGGAATTCCCACTGATCGTGTTTCCCGTCCTGCTCGATAAAATACAGAGTTTCACAACTACAGGTTTAAGTATCTGTGTGTAAGGGGAAAATAAACAAGTGTCATATTGGGCCTATGTGACCACAGATTGTGCTCTCACACTGACACACGAAACAGCATATATTAATTATGATAGATTGGGTGTGACATTTATGCATACGGGTGTGAGCTTTAGAGACTTCTTGGTCCTCCATGTGATTGTGTGTGCTTTGAGACGAGTGTAATAAACCTGTATGAGTGGGCATTTGAACTTGCCCATTACAAATATTGCACGGAGGAGTGAACAAAACACTGGGGGGGTTTTAGCTCTTTAACACAAGATGAAAATCACGCTCTTGTGACCTCGGAGCTTATCTCCTCACCTCTCCTCTTTCCCATCTGCTGGGTGAAATGAATACAGCAGAGAGGCCAAGTGCTGCGAGGCTGCAAGCTGAGGTTGTGTGTATGATAGAATAACTGGCAAACCCAGACATAAGGGAACAAGCAATAAAAAGCAAACACACTCCACCTGACAGTTTGTGTAAGGCAGCTTTGTGCCTCTCATGCTGCTCATTAAAAGATTCCAGCCTGACTCAAAATAGCAGCCTTGTTCGGTTGGGCAGTGATGAATAATAACCCACTGTGTCTGATGCTAACAATTAATGGGCCCAATTTCTAAGTAATGAAACAACAGCTGTGCTTGAAGGAGCATTAGCACGCCCATTTATTAATCGAACGCTATCATTGTGTTACTTCTTTCCCTTTCTTTCCTATTGCTTGCCATCGCTCCTTCGCTCACTTCCTGCTGATGTAGAAGTTGGAAACCTGAATCATGCCGTTCTGCTTGTTGCTGTCGGGAAGAGAAACCAGTGCAACAGCTCATGTCAGCAGCATAAGGATTTTCACAACAGTGAGTATAGCTCTTATAACTATCTGTGCCAACACTGACTGGCACAACATGTTTAAAGCAGTGTTCAGCGCATCTCGAGTCATCAGTGCAGAAAAACATTGGCAGCTTACCTTCAGACTACTGTCGTTTTTAATGTATTTCCTGCATTTATTAAATTAAATATGTCTCTTATCAATTATGACATGTAGTTTTGAAATGCTGGTCAGCAATTCCGCTGTTAATTGAATGTCCATCAGCAGCACCCTGTATATGATTAAATAAACGAGGGGAAATTAAACATTCTGGTAGATGCCACATGAGGGTTTTTGAGGTTACATAAGTCCAACTCCTGTTGCCTCTCGGTTATTACTTGCAGATATCATATGACCTTGATGATTTAATAAAATAAGGAATTTTTATGAGATTTGACTGGAGCTATATCCAAGGGGAATTGATTCAAATGAGAAAAATAATTAGGCTGTTTGAGTAAAAAAGAAGTGGGTAGCATCCCTGTTGTTGATGCATATAAAACAGCCTCATTTTCCACCGCCTACATCCACTCTGCTTATTGCAAGTTGAAGTATGCCTCGTTTTCATGAGCATGCTGACAGCTATAATGCTGAGGAGAATGGACACACACACACAGATAACACTTACACTTGTAGCTGCAGGCTGTTGAGGAAGTTGTCGATGTGTTGCTGTGGCATGTCTCCGTCCAGGTGAGCCAGGTAGGTGTAGAGTTTGACGAAGGTGTCGAAGGGGATCCTCGCAGCACCGCCCTCCTCATCCTCTGTCAGGATCTCACAGGCAAACTTCAGAGAACTCACGAGGGTCTGAGGATGTAGCAGAAACAAGAAACAGACACACAAATACATAAATGTGTTTTCAGCATTCAAGGACGGTCACGTCTTGTTGGAGCATCACACACTTCAAATATACTTATCCACACACACGTTACCAGCAGTGAAAACTAATTCAGTGCAGAACATGACTGCCCTCATGTGGTCAAAACGTAAACAATCTCATACGTATAAGCATCCTTTCCAAAGTACTGACACTGAGCACATAATGCCGCTAATGCTGAGCTGCACATGCTTTTGCAGATTCTACGTAATCGTCTGTAAAGTTCTTCTTCGAGAAATTCTCCCTAATCTGTCTCCACTGCTCTATCTGCAACTTTAAAGCGAAACCATTGGCTTAAAGGCATCACAAAGATTTCAGTATTCTCCGAGAAGGAATTATCTTTAAAGCCTGGGGACCTTGATGGGGAAGTCTGGATCACAGACGTCTGGGTCTCGTCTAAACACTGGAAAACTAGACTGTGGTATTGAATAAAGAAAAACACTATAGGATCTCCAGCTGTGCTTTGCCTCACAGAATGTTTTTGAAAACTCAAAGGAAATGGTATCAAGTGGTGTTAGCAATTATATCTGGCCTTATGTAACAACTCACCCCTCCCAGAGCACTGCAGGCCAGAGAGAAAAACTCCATCCAGTCGATGTCTGAGCCAAAGCTGCCCAGCGACAGCAGGCTCTCCAGCTGATCCACGGGGAGACACAGGCCCTTCCACTTCTTCTGCACTTCCTCCTTGCTGCATGTTTCCCTGGGGGACAGCTGAGGGGGGAGGAAGTGTCGGTTTAGGGGAGATAAGGAGGACAAATGAGGTCTAGTTTATCTAGTTTATCTAGTAATCTAGTTTACCAGATGAGTGTAAAAATCCCACTGTATTATTTGTTGAAATAAACTTCAGTACTGGAGCTAGGGAATCACACAGCCGTACTAATGACCTGTTTATCAGCAAGATTTTCTTTAGCGGTGGATTTTTCTGTATGGTCAGCTTTGTAATTAAGACACAGCTAGATACAATGTATTGCTTTAGTATCCCAGAACAACAGGACAATTTGGGGCCATAAAGGAAGCAGACTTTTTAATTAAGTAAACAGAATTGAAATACTAAGATAACTGACATAAAAACTGAACGAGATGGCTTCCTGGAAAGATTAAAACTGTTGCTAAAGTGTTGGCCTTTAAGGAAATATTAAATATTCAGATCCTTTAATGAATCCACCACACCAAAATGCCAGTACAAGTCCCAGGTGATGTTTACTATAATATGAGACTTTAATGATTCACGTGAGGAAACAGCATGAGTGGAATATGCTGATACACACAGAAAAGCATGGATACTAAACTTAATGCAGCTATTAATTACAAATTACAGTATTAACTAGCCTGTACAGGGCATTACAACGGTAAAGCACAGTGGAAAAATGCAAACGATTATGTGATACATTCTATGAGATTAGGCCCTGATGTAGAGGAAGTACCTGTTTGTGAAGAGTCTTGAGTAGACCTGGAGTCAGCCCTGTGTCAGTTCTCTGGGTGGCGGCATTCATCTCCAGCCTGTCCTTGACTGGCAGACACTCTCCTTTAGACAGCGCACTGAAGTATCTGAGAGAGGACACACACACTTACATAAACACACACATACACACACCTAAGCATCATTCCAATCAGATAAAGTCTCAAAAGCAGGTTATGTGCAATGATGCATACATTGACATTAGTCCAATTAAAGACATTTTGTTTTGAGGAGCATCAGTTGAGTAAATTATAATGAGTAGTTTGTCTTAAGTTTAACGATTTGCATTTTGCTAAAAGGCATATTTATCTTACTTCACAGTTTAAACAAGGTTTTCCTTCAACTTCAGAGCATTTCAGCATCAGAGGCGGCAGAGCATGGTGTTACTTTAATAGCATCTAAACATCTTGTAACCCAGGAGACATTTGAGTTGTTTTAGTTTCACCATATGGCTCGCTTTATTGTCTTTTGCTGTAAACACTGCCAAGCTACGTTGGCCAATTAAATAACAGATGATATGAGAGTCCTGAGGGGAACAAACACACACTTTATCTTTCAATTGCATCCAGTACTTTCAAAGAGATTTTTCTTAGTTGAGAAAGTCAGATAGTTTAACCGCTGCAGTAACACGGAGGCCCCTGGGATCCAATTACAGCCAGTCAATGCACAGATGAGAGATGCACAGGTGAAAAGGGCCTGTCTTTTCATTCAATGATGCAGCCTGTGAGTTATGCTTTCTTCTAAAGAGATCAAGATTGAAATAAAACACTAGCAACAATCCCTTTCAACACAGATTTAAACTTACGCCGCAGACCACACCAGCAAATCCTTGGGCTGTGTACGGATGGCTGCCTTAGTGAAGTTTTTCAGGATGTCTGGCAGCACGGGGGGGATGTTGATTTGCTGGGAACAGTACATTGTGTCTGGAAGAGACATGGCTGCAATATAAAACATTGCATTATAGTCAAATTAGCAGATGAGATGTGTCAGATAGCAGATCTGGGAGGGAGGAGAAAAACTGCAGCCTGCCAGCCACTTAAAACTAAACAAGGAGACAAAAAAACACTACATTAACATTACAAATTGTTCTTTTTACTATCCAATGTTGCTATTACATACAGTTGAAGCTGAATGTGGAGACAAAGGACATGATCTAAACACGTTTAAAAAAACATACAAGCTCGAAAAGCTACATATATGTGTATTACTCTTTTATTATAAAGAACTGCATAATACAATTACCCAATATCATTGTGGTTCTCAACCTGGCATAAGACTTCTGATAGCTGTACAGTTCATATTTTAATACATCTTTTTGTGAGTAGGCTTTTGGGAGAGATAATGTAACGTCCGGTTAACTAGGAATACACATTTGGCATTTGGCTGTTATGAAAAGCATACAGAAAACAAGTAGAGTAGGAGAAAATAAGCTACTTTCGATAACAAATACAAATGCATTTAGCTATTGAACGTCAAATGGATTGTTTACGTCAATGCTACCGGACACAAACTAAGTAGCCAAATGACACTTTAACTGTCATAATATATAGCGAAATTAAGTAACATTACCTGGATAGTTGAACAATAAATGTGGGCAGAAATGTGGAAAGAAAGGCTCGAATAATGTTTTAACCATAGACTGGTTATAACGCAGTTGTGATGCGTGTTGCGTCGCGTAGCAACGGCGTTCTTCTTCTGCAGGGTAGCTGTGATGCTGCGTGAAGTGCACTGCTGCCCCCTTGTGGTGAGCATAGTCAGTGGACAAAGCACATTTCATGTTTCAACAATTCCATATTTATTAACTTAATTTAACTAATTTGCACAAATAGCCTTCCATTGATAAGATTATTTGCAGCTGTCATGCCCAGGAAATATGCATATAGGCATAATAATAGATCTTATTTCTATGAAGTGTGTTTTTTCATATATTAAGACGGTCTGTTGTGAACTGTAACATAAAAGTGATAAAAAACTGGTGACACAAAATACATTTGGTGATTCACATTCGGACACAAATCATGACAGATACCATTCTGTGTCAGCATACACATTTATTGAAGTGATGCCATGAAACATCATCAAGATTTTATTATTAAACAGCTTCTTGAAAATACGGGTTTACACAGACTGTGATTAGAAAATAATAGTACAACTGCCAGTATTTGGTAACCAAACAGACATGGACAATTAAAAAAAGCGGAATATCCCACCAACCACTCCCAACACTGAAAGTAAGTCAGCAACTATAATAGACCAGAGACAAATTCATTCATGCACATTCACACAATCACTGTCAGGTCAAATACGCCAGTGCACATTTAATCTAGCTCAAGTGGAATAGGTAGAATCTGCTTGTGAAATCCCTTTCAGATTCAACTAACTTAAGATGTAATGGGAGTCATGTTATACAATCACAGCGTTCCCTCTCCCAAGTTCCTACGCTGGGCTAAATTAAATGTGTCTAAAAAGTAATTATCAAAAAATGATAAGGATGGAAGCTATCAAAAACAACACAGGTTATGTGGACTACATAATGGACTATCTTAAGGTGCTAGTCCCCCTTGTCCCCTTCCCAGTGTCATCTCTTTCTCCACTTGATACAAAAATAAAGCTGTTCTTACCCAAAAACCCACCCTGGACACTCTCCTGTGCCTATAAAACTATTCAGGATCAGATAGTACTCCTCATCAACACCTTCTGGCAGGAACTACACTGCTCCAGACTTATTTCCTCATAAGCCTTTTTTCTTTTTATATCATCTTACATCCTGGACGAGACCTCAGCCAATCTATCAATAGATTGGCTTTAAATGCAGTTATAGGTTTGACAGTTTAGGTAAACTATTGAAAAAAACTGTCCACCTCAAAGCACAAAAGCACATCAATATTCAGACCAAAGACATTCCTCACAGATAACTGAACTATAAAAAACAGATCTGTCCATGGCTGGGATTCCCACGAGCATTGTAGCGCTACAGATTGTAATGTGCAGGCAGCCTGTTTGAGTTAATGCAAACTCATATTTTAAATTATGCAAAGACTATTTTTAAGTTTTCCTTGAACTCCACTGTCTAGCAAATGTATTTAGTTGCCGGGCATCCATAAGACCAAGGTCATTGAAGGAATTGAATTGTCTAATCTAATGAGAACATGTGAAGAGCAACACTTTAGGACTATCGGCACCAATGTTTGTTAGAAAGATGTTTGTTGGTCATAGAATTTTGGTTTTCTCAATGTTTATTTAGTACATACCTCAATGTGATTTTAAAGTGTGATCCTGTGGTGTTGATTTATGGTTGTTTCAATCAAAGCCTGGATCATTTAATCTGGTTAAAATGTTCTTTGTTCTGTAGTTGGATAGTGATTATTAAAGCACTGATAAGGAGACCAGGCCTTACCCGCTACAGACACCAAGCTAGTCAGTCAGGGTTTAAGTGTTTCTGTGGTTTTATCTCTTGCCCCTTTTGTTACCAGCAGGGGGTTTCTTGAGCTGGAGGAGGGGTGTTTGGCCGAAGCCTGCAGCCGCCGGGTTAGACACGCCAAAGGTCAGGCCAGCCGACGTGTTGAGGCCAGGGTTACTGAAGTTAAATCCTGAGGTGCTGCTGCTACCGAAACCTAGAGAAAACAAGAGAGAGGACGCAGGACAAAAAAAGACAACAATATATTAGAGAAAACAAAAGTAATGGAGCAATTAAAGAATAAAGGTTATCCAGATTCCAGCATTTGCTAAATTTTGAACAGAAGTTGTCCAACCCAATATCCCGAAATGCCCAAACTGCCAGCGCACTTAGCTAAAAGACTTACTACAAGGATAACGTTGTTGACCAAGCCTACTAGCAGAGAGGAAACCAGAGAATCTCATTGCACTGACTGTATCTGCACATTGCTCACAGTAGCTTGACTTTTCTTGATGACGCTTACTCAAAATGTTCTCAATTCAGAGAGTACACTTTCCAACACAAGCCTGCTCAGACTCAGCTGTACTGTAATGCGTTGGGGCCAGGTGTGAGTGAAGGGGGGTGTATACAGTATGATGTACCTGCACTCAGACTGCCTCCTGTGGGCTTACTGGTGGAGAAGGCAAAAGAAGACCCCCCAGTCCCCACCCCACCAAATCCTGGCCCACCAACAAAACCTGTGGGAGAGAGTGACATGGAAGTCAGTTTGAGCTAATCACAAACTGCACTAGGACTAAATAGAAGGAGCAGTGGCTCGGGAGGACACACACACATCTGAGTCATTCCATGTCAAATCAGATTGTTGTTGGTTTTAAAACTTAAATAAATATTATATAATCTACCAGCAAATTATTTCAAATTATGAAAAACAATAAATTATTTATCAACTTAAGTTATTATTCTTTTTTTATGTCCATAACTTAGATTGAAAAGTGTGACCAAATATCTAATTAGGAGGGGGGCTGCCTAATTTATCTTTTACTTTAAAAATGGGCCAGTAATAAAAAAAGATTACATATGCTTATGCCTTTCAATCTTTGGCACACCATTTTTTGTGTGCCCCTACCAATTGTTGTGTCTCTTAACAGTTTCATTTCGACACCTTTAAAATGTCCTTCTCTTAATATTAGGATGTGAAAATTCCAAAATTCTCATGTGCAACAAACTTTGTAAATCTGTGTAATGTTTTTTGTTGTCAAATAGCATAGAAATTATTTAAAAAAAATAAGTAAACAAAAGCCTCCATCACATTTGACATGAAATAACCCATATGGAAAACAGATATGCCAACCCTAACCGATAGAGCCCTCCACAGCTTAACCTCTGACTGGAGACTCAGTGCGCTGCGGGGCAAAGCAAAGGCCGAAGAGAGAAAAACGTAATGAGAAGGAAAACCAAACACGTCGACTACATGAGAACACGCACCTGGTGTGCGCTCAGACCACTTTTTCCAACACTGCCCAGATACTTTTAACTAGCTGTTGTAGCCAAGTGGATATGCCAGGTGACATCCAACAGTAAGTTGCATTTCTTTAGCAATGTTTTGGTGACCTGTGGCAAATGTTTGCTCAGTTTTTCTTGTGGTGTGAACGCACTTGACCACCTGCGCATGGAAGAACAGAAAAAAAAACACTGCCAAGCTTTAACTGCACCAATCTCACACACACTGCCTACCACTACTTTCATTCAGGAGAACACAAAGACCTCAAACACAAGGGCTTCTGGGGAAAGCTAGGCATTAGGACAACTGTCTACGGTGTAAGGGAAGGGCAAAACAGGGAAATATATTTATAAAAAAAAAAGAGGTTATACCTCCAAGGGTAGAAGAGCCCAAGCTAGTGCCCACTGCCGAGGCAAAGGGGTTTCCGAACCCTACCCCCAAGGGTGCCTGGGTCCCTATGGCACAGAGAGAGAGCATATGCTTTACTCCTCTAAATGTGTGTGTTCAAAATCATCATCTCCTTTGACAGAAAAGTTGGTAAAGACATTCATTATGAAAAGGACATGTCATTTGTGATTTTATATCAAGATTCAAGTTTCCCCATGTATGTTATACCTCGCAAAAACAGAATGTCTGCAACATATAGTGGTAGCGTTTGAATATCACAATATTACAGTGCTCAAGAAATATAATACAACAGTATAACTGCCTTAATGCATAATGCTATTGCAACTGCAGTCAGCAAATACTATGTTACCAATAAATGATATTACATCTTTTTTTTAAAAACCAATAACATTCCAGGTAATGAATACAACGTGGGAAATGTGCTGCTAGTTCTTTCACTCAGAAACTTGTCTTTTTTCCTTAATGCATTTTTTTCTTTTATGTAATCAAATTTGATAAAGTTTCCAATTATATTGCATTGTCAAATGAACTTCAGTCGAAAAGAAACAAGGACAACCGTTTCTTTGTGTAAAAATTGATTTATTGTCAATTTAATATGCAATTCCACTGACATAAAACACAAACAAACATTTTAGAACATAACTGATTGTTAATTGCTAACTGCTACTGCATTTGACAAGTTTCCAAATTTTCAAGATTTCTGAGAGTGAATGAACTAGCATACGCCAAAAAAAGAAAAGAAATGCATCACACAATTATTGAATATAGCTTAAAAGGCACACCATATTATATATTAAATATACTGTATCAACAGGCATTGGTTATATAGGTTTAAACACATTAATCTACAGGTAAAAGCACTCGAGATTTAGATAAGAAATGTGGATTTGGCATCTGCGGCTGCCTCAGTGTAAACTCAGTGATATGTTACAGTTAGCCTGTGGAAGTCATTGTTGTCACGTGAATAGAATCAGCTGTGTGTGTGAACCCTTTTAACCAGTGTATTTTAAGACATTACAACCCAATTCTACTTATTTTAAACACAAACCTGCAGCTTGAATTCATTAACACATGATTGCAGGCTACAAACACTCTTCGTATGGACTTGGATCAAGTCTGATTTGTTGAGGTGACATGTATAGCTTTTCGGAAATCACTCAAGACCCCCCATGACACAATCTGCAATAGTAGTACCGCCTGAAAATCAACTACAAAAAAGCATAAAGCAATGGTCAAAAGTAAAATGATTTAAGAGAAAATAACATCATAAAAAAAGTCAATGACAGCCAGCAACTCAAAAGACCAGACTCATTTCAGACTATTCGAGCCTATTTTAAAGAACTGCTGCGCTGAAGCGTAACATCACACAGAAACTATTTACACAACTCTGAATAATCAATGAGTTTCACAATAACTCTCATTGAGTTGAACACTGTTGCTGGTACTGTGCCAACCAATCAAAAACAAATTCACATTATAAATTCTTCACTTCAAAAAAAGGGGGCAAATCCCCTGCTGTCGAACAAACAGGAATAAGATGGCTAAATATTTACCATCACCTTCTGGGTCCATGTAGCTTTGACAGACCAATAATTATAACATCATTTATTCTTCATTATTATGCCAAGTACGTC